AAACTTAAAAAACAAATTCTGTATCAGATGTCCTCTGAAAGCATCAAAGACAAGTATCACTCTTTTCCTTAATAGCATATTTATTGCAAATGGTGCCAATCTCTTATTTGCTATTTATTTCTAAGGGTAGAAGAGATATGGCGAGGTTAAGGGACTTGCTCACATCCCATCATAGGTCACTAGACCAGAAATCACTTTTTCTTGGCCCCTTTAAAAAATGTAACTTTACAGTGGAGAAATCTGACACATTATTTCTTCAGCAAGGTCCTGGTCAAGGTCAATGTCACCAGTCATAAACCATGATGATAGTTAAGTACTCTTGATAGGATGTGACGAAAATGGCACTTAACCTCTATGATCCTCCTCCCCAAAACCTACAACTCTAGTCTAATCATGAGAAAAACATCAGCCAAAGTCTTACAGTGGGGCAACCTACAAATACCTACACCTCAAGGTCATCGAACATAAGGAAAGTATGGGAAACTGTCATAGGTAAGAGGAGTCATGGAGACATGGCAACTAAATGTAATATGATATCCTAAAACAAGGCTATTAGGTAGAAATTAGGGAAAGCTAAAAATATGTATTGATTTTAGTTAACAATGTATTAACATTAGCTCATTAATTATAACAAATGTATCATACTAATGTAAATGTTAATAACAGGAGAACTTTGTATTCAGAGGTTATATAAGAACTATGTATACTAACAACTCAATATTTCTATAAATGTAAAGCTGTTCTAAAAAATTCAAGTCTGTTAAAAAATAAAGAAATTAAGGTATGCATCATGTTATACATTTTATAGTGGTATCTGTCTTGATAACTTTGTATAAAATCTATCCGTTATCTACTAAAAATAGATAAAAATGCTTCTAAAAATAAAAATGATGTAATTTGGAATAATAACAGAATCTATCAGGATATAAGTATAAGCAAAATTTTGTATTTTATGAATTAGGAGTTTTTCAGTCCTAAAAGGAATTTTCTTTGATCAGTTTTTCATCACTAAATATGGAATCCAATTTTAAGTGGGCATACCCCCAAATTATCTCTGAAGGCAAACCAAACTTTAGGGTTCATTGCAGTTGTCTTCAATTATAACAACCAGCAGTAAAAATATCTATGTAACCACAGGCGTGCAGTGTGCAAAAGCCTTAACTGCCTCTTGAGGAGTAATGTATAGCTAGCAAAAATCACCACTAACACGATGTAAAGGTAATCTACACTAGGTTCCAGTGTTAAAGCAGACCATGGAGTAGACTTCTTGCTACATCAATGAAGATGTAACAGAAGCTGGCAGCATTCACACCAGCTTTTGGGCTGGGCAGCTGCTTGTCTGAGGCAGAGGAAGCTTGGTCCTGGGAAAGGCAGTTTCCGAAGATGCTTCTGACCTGGCAGTTTCCTGATTGTGCAGAAGCAGCTGGTCTCTTAGCAGCAAGTTCTGAAGTCTGCTCCAGTAGTTATTTTTGAAGCCTGACCTAGAACTATTCTTCAGCCTTNAAAAAAATAAATAAAACTTGCTCTTGCCCAAAATCCCTCAGGGAAAGCGCTCTACTGCTTGTGAGGCACTGTATTCCCCCAATCCATGGACTCTTTCCCCTTGAATAAAGGACATCAAACTCGTTACTAAATTGTTTTAGTTTTGTCATTCAATACTTCCAGTTAATTTATGTTAAAAAAAAAAAGAATTTGTAATAAGGGATATTTAAGGACCAAATCAACTGACCAAATTGATGGAAAAGATAAAGAAAAGGAAACTATTTTAAAAGTTTAAAAATATTTAAGCTTTAAATTAATTGCAGTAAACACACCTTATCTGGTGTCATCAGCACAGTTGACTCAGTTTTTATTCCAGACTGATGAATATTCACAAACATTCCTGAATCTATCAGTCCTGCTGACCTGTAACAAATAAGAACAAATTTTAGCCTTAGCTTCATTAGGGAAAAAAACCCAAATGACCAGCTACTTAATAGATGTTTTGTTTGTGGTTTTTACTATACCTTCCAGTTTCATTATCTGTTACAAAAGTTGGAGTTGCAGCTAATGGGCTTCGAAGGTCTTTTCGAATATAGATTTTTTCTGTTGAAGCAGCACAATTGGAAGATTTTTCTCGTGATACTTCAATGGGTTTTCTTTCACACTGAACAGCTACAAAAAATGCATTAGACTATTACATCACAATGCAGAATTTATAGGCAATTACAAATGTAAGCTCTAGGTCCGCAGTGGTGCTAATGGGAGACATGGTTACCATAACAGAACTCCAAAGATAACCATCAATAGAAATTATTTGTAAGTTCAACAGAGTTGCTTGAGTAAACTGTAACAGTAAATAATAAAACTGGCTATTTTGCATCTCTCATTCTCTTTTCTCTCCCTGCCTCAGTTGTGGTAGAAATGTAGAGATACTCTGATTTTTTAAAATCTCACAGTCAAGAAAGAAAAGCTGAAGTTATTATGGGAGTCCCTTATCTATCTATATGAGTTATAAAAAAAATGAAATAATATTTAATCATTTGAAAACAATACTAATAAAGAGCCACAAAAAGACCAAAGTTACATACTTTTTTTTAAGTTAAGGGCAGGGGGATTTTTGAGGAGTAATTCAACTGCTTAGTCTTCATTTATAAAATATAGGCAATATATTTTACTTATTTTATTGAAATTTTATTTTATGATACTTAGGAGATAGTCTAGTTGTTAAATGTACATTTTCTGAGGAAAAATACTGCCAAGATTCAAATGCAAGTTTTGCCACTTATTAGTTGTGTGACCTTGGACAAGTTACTAAATCTGTTTACTCAAATTTAAAATGGGTAACAGTGGTATCTATTGCATAGAATTTTGCTGTGAGAATAAGAAAGTTAATCATATGCTATAGTTAATCATATGCTATACACAGAGCTAGGCATAGTGAGAGCTCAATCAATATTAGCTATTGTCACTATTTTATTAATCACTTAAGTAGTTTAATTGAAAACTAAACTGTTATTTAGTTAGTTGTGCTTATTTTATTTTTACCATGTTCAAACTACAAATACAACACAAGCTGCATATAGGCACTCAATAAATATTTGTTGAGTGAATAAAAAATACATATGTACATATTTCTATATTTATAGCTAGAAAACTGTAAATTAAAAAGCATATATATTTGACATTTTAATGTGTTAATTTTAACATACTTCTAGAGTGTGCCTGAATCCTTAAAAGTATTTTCTCCTTTAAAGCTAATACATACAGTCTTGTTTCATTCCAAAGGCAATACATCTCTGTAACCTGCAGTATTGACAGCGATTTCGATGATGTTTATTGATAATACAGTCCTTTGATCCTCGACATGAGTAAACTAAATTTTTTCGGATACTTCTTTTAAAAAATCCTTTGCAGCCTTCACAAGTTACTGCTCCATAATGACGCCCTAGAGACAAAATGTTCAGGAAACAAAAGTCACATTTTAGAACAGGAATGAAATAAGCCCATTTCTTCCCTTTAAACAACAATATATGAGATGAAATTGAGATTTCTGAGTTTATGACCTGAAAAAATTTTTTAGGAGTTATTAAACAGAGAATGAAACAACCATGTTCTCTGATAAAATATATTCAACAATATGAGTTTTTTTAGTTTTGTAAAGTAACCTTAATGG